CCCGGCCGCAGCGCTCAGGGACGTTCTCTGCGGGCAGAACCTCTCGGCGTAAACGGAAGCCGCAGATCTGCAGACCCCCAGGTTTTACGACACCAAGGAGCTGCTGGAATTCTCCGTTACCGATACGGTTCGAATCCTGGTGAGGGAAGACAGAGAAAGGAGCTTGTGCATCAGATTCGGCAACCAAGTTCTAAAAGAATTCTGCTCCAGTACTGCTGGAAAAAATAAACTCTCTGCATCACCTTTACGCTCCATCGAGTTGCCCTGTTCGTCTGTCCACATGCACACAATGACGAGGTCATACACAGAAACTGGGAGGTGGAAAAGATCTTATAAAGTCTCCGGCGCTGCCTGACATCTGGTCATTAAAACTCATAAAGCGAAATCACACGAAGCGCACGCTTGAAAACGCCACAGCTCTGCTCGCCCTGGCTGCTTCGGCCAAGCGGAAAGGGGCTGTGCAGGAACTGCGACCTCTGGTGGCTACAAGTGAAAGAAAGTTAAAATATCATTTATAAGCCTCGCAAGGGCGTTAGCTCACAAAATCGTATTCACACTACACCAGTAAGAATTTGTGTACACCCAAGGAATGTTTTGCAGTGAGGACTTTTCAGCGTTCTAAATGCTCTGACAATTGTTTTGCATATTCATAGAGGTTTATGTAGCAAGTTCTCTGTGCCCAAGCCAATTCACTCGCTGGATAACAATAACAACACGTCCTTATCGATGTTACTATTTGCATTTTAGCCACATCTCCAGTCCCCAGATGCCCGCTGCTTTGCAAAGTTACTGCCAGGAACTCCAGAGCTGGAGAGAGCACGGGGACTGTCGCTTAACGGTGTCTCCTACCATGGACCCCAAATTCCCCATCACAATGACAGGCACAGACGTGAGAAAGCAGCGATAAAACACAGCAGAACAAATCATTCCTCATAACAAAAGACAAATGAAAACCTGCGTAAGAAAGCAATGTGCTATTTCTAGCTAACATAACTGGATTATGTGCTTCTAGCCAAAATATTCTGTAATTTCATATGTGAATTGCAGAGCTAACGCATTTCTTTTATCAAAGGAGAACATTTTTCGCCTTGAGCTTGCACAAGCTTAGCTTATTATCACGATTAGTTTGTTGTCGTAGGGAGAGAATTTGCACTGAGCTGTGGGTGGTTTCCCCGCTCTGGGGACACGTCCGAGGGGCTCGGCACCCCTCCCACAAGCCCTGACGGGGGATGCTCGAGGAGTCCCGACCCACCCCAACGGCCTCCCCCGGGTGCGTGTCCCTGCCAGGGCAGCACTCACCGGTCTGCGTCCGCGGGACCCCCACGGCTCTCCCAGCCCTGCTCCGCGGGACAGCCTGTTCACCCCGCTGAGCTCTCGGAGGGGAGAGGGTGGGAAGGTGCTGGAGGGTGCTGAGTGCTGCAGCCACGGAGTCTGTCCGCTGCAGTATCGAGGAGAAAAACTGCGTGGAAGGAGGACTCAGCCTCTAGGTGCTTCCTTTAAAAGGACCTGAAGGCGAGGCCGAAGGCTTCATTGCTCAGGTGAGCAGGTTTTGTGTGGGGAGGAGGGGCAGTGAGTAAGGGAATGCTTGATATGATTCAGCTGAGAGAACCTGTGTGACAGCAGCACTTGCTTACTTCTTGGGGTTAAGGGTGCCAGGTACTCAGGTGATGGGATTAACGAGAACACAGGGAGGAAGTGAGAATACGAGCACCTTTCGCTTTGTGAAAAACCCCACTTCTTTGGAAGACTCATGTATTAGCCCTTTTCGGGGCGCAGGTGGCTGCGTATCGCTCAGAAGCAGAGGACCCAGGCAGAGGTTGCACACAAATGCATTTTATTGCTCTCTACAAACCCAGAGACGCATACACGGTATGCACGTAAGCCGCAGGGCTGTCCCAGTAGCGGGAGAAACGTTATTCACCATGAATTCAACCACTCAATACAAACAAAAATCATTATTATAATGAAAATGCTAGAAAAAGCATAGCTTACACCCAAAATGTATAACATTGACCATTTAAGCCTTTTACCTACTACCTTTTCTTTAACATAAAGCAGCAACGCACTCTTTTTCTAAATTGAAAAAAGCAGCAAAATAGTAGAAATATTCCACACAGTTTCCTATCTTCTGTTCGCCTGTCACACTTTACATCCCAGGACTATGAAAGGGTCGCTGGGGAACAACCTGAAGCAAAACCAAACCCGTCTCTGACGCTGTACCGGTTACGAGCAGAGGGAAACGGATTTTAACCCAGCGTGCGTGAACCAAAGGGCGGCAAATTGTCACTCTGGAGAGACCGAGAGAACGAGCGTCGCGAGTCAAGCCAGAGCCCAGCTGGTGGCTCTTACAAGCAACGTGAGAGAGATCTCTCCTACAGCGATTCTCGTCCGTCACAGCCGGAACGTTTACGGAAAAACCCTCCTTCCCTCGGAAGACGTTCGCGCCCTGGCTGGGCAGCACGCCGCGGGCTGCTACCGCCGGCGTCTACACAGCGTCGCTACCACTCGACCGAACGCCTGAACTTTTGCCAGAGGATCCCATAAAAGCCACAAGTGTGCCATTCTTTGCACACATAAATAAAGTACCCGGGGAAATAAAGTTCCCTACAGAAGAGGGGATCAGATCTGGACTACCAGGCGCAGTCAGATCCTTCCTCTGGACAGCAAAAGGCAAAGGTCCATGACATGAGGACTGCCCTGGCTACCAGGGCCTCCAGAGAGCACTGGCAGCCTTGGGAGATGCTTGCTTCGGGGAGCTGGGGCTCCCGGGGGACCGGGCGGCCGCCGCGGCAGCGGACTGGGTCCCCCGGGCTGGAAGTGGCTTAAAAGTTTGGTCTGCGTTTCAGTTCGGACTTTCTGAAGAGAGAGGAAATGGAAGGCTTCTTGCAGACACCTGGAGTAGCCCTCTCGGAAGTCAAACTGAGAGCTTTTGTGGAAGGATCCTGCCGCTGGAGAAGGGCAGAGAAGAGGGAGGGGGAAGAAAGAATAGTTTAGAGCAGCTGCTCATGGCTAGAGGTTCATAAACTGTCACAGATTTGCAGGAAGCTAGAGGCAAAACTCAGTACTCACTCTTCATCTGCAGCTGGCTCTGCTGCTTCAGGTAGCTGACGGTCATCTCCAGGATGTCGGCTTTCTCCAGCTTGGAGTTGGGCTGGTGCCTCTGGAACTCCTTCTCCAGGAGCAGTTTCAGCTGCTCGATGCTGCTGTTAATCCGGTCGCGGCGCATTTTCTCCACCACCGGCTTCCTCAGCTGCAAAAAGCAAAGGAAAGGAGACCCGTTATTAGGAGGATCTCTCTGCCACCTCGCAGGACCGCTTGTTGCCCGTCACTGTTCCTAAGCAACGTGGACCAGCTCCCCAGCTGGCGTGAGCTGCTATGAGAACAGCCGAGAGCGTGGCCCGAAGCTGCCGCGCTGTGCCTGGACTTACTTTGTTTTTCTCCTTTGGCGTCAGCAGGTTGTCGGGCTCCACGAAAACCGTGCTGGGAGCCATCTGTCCCGGGAAGGGGAGGAAGGTCGCGGAGTGGAAGTCCAGGAGAAGTGTGTTGCTGGAAGCCGCCTCTGCCCGATATTTATACCGTGCAGACTCGCTCAGAGCCTGTGGGTCTCCGGCTCGGCGGAGTTTCCCACACTCCGCGGCCAATCCGGGAGACGGGCAGCACAATAGGAGCAGCATCTCTTCTCGCACGCTCCGCTGCCGGTGAATAGCGGGGGGATAATGACCTTCTCCCAGATGAGCAGGTGGGGAGTGAGCGCTACGTGAAAGCCTGGGATCAGAACTGCGGCGTCGGAAGCTGGGAACGAGCTGGCCTTCGGTGGGCACGGGCTGCTGACTAACGCCGCGGATCAGTGGCATTCCAGGGGCAGCCGCGGTGGGCTGGCAGGCGTGGGGGAAGGAGGGG